CGCTCACCAGAAAGACAGAGACAGAGAGACAGAAAGCAAGAAATCCCCCCCCCAGGGGGAATGACCACACTACAATCCCTTCTCCTCATTCTCCTCTTGGGATGTTGGGCATGCACACACACGTACCCAGCATGAGTTTAAGCTGTCGGGTCTGGGACTCGAACCACAGTCAACTACATGGGAATCTAGCAACATAGCCATTATGCCAACTGCTGATCCCATCAAAATCATTTTTTTTAATTGAAGGGTTTTATTTATTTTATTTCATATACAAATAGCCAGCATGATTTCTTTCCCTGGGTGGATATCTTGGACAATCCATTCCAGGAAGATCATTTAGTTCAACTTGATGAAGCCTATGTCCTTCACGTACTGATGGAAACACTGAGGGCACATGTTGAGGTCGTATTTCCAGATCAGACCATGCTGGTTTGAGCACACGCGGCAAGAGCGAGAGCCCTGGCCGAATTTTCGCAGGTGGCTCCAGTAGAGCTGCTGATGACCCATCCTGCTTTCAGACAACGAAGCAAAAGGCAAAATCATTATTTTTTTTTTAATTGAGTGTTGCGGGGCTGGCAGATGGCATGGTGATTGGGGGTGCTGGACTCCCACATGACCTACTGCAGTTCGAGTCCTGGGCCTGGCGGCTTGCTTTCTCACTTTCATTCTCTCTCTCTCTCTCTTGCCCTTTCTGGTCAAATTTTAAAACAATAATAAATAAATAATGTTAAATAAAATAATTATTTTAAAAATTGAGTGTTGGGCCAGCCCATGGAATGGTAGTTAGAGCTCACATGGCTCACAATGCTTTGAGTCCCAGACCTGGTGGCTTGAAAAACACACAAGGAACATGTGCATGTGTGCCCAAAATCTCAAAAGAAAACACAGAGAAGAAATTGTGGTGTGACAATATCCCATGGGGACTACTTTCTCACTTTGTCTCTCTCTCTCTCTCTGTCTCTCTAGTAAGTGCATGTATCCTCAAGCAAAATAAAAAAAAAAAAAAAAAAAAAAAAAAAAGACATGCACAACTATCAGAACTTTACTAGTCAAAATGTACTATTATATAGGGCATTACCAAATTGAGTTGATATAAATTGAACTTAAAGACACACAATTTGACATTTTAGCCTATGTAATCTTTCTTTTTTCAAATCAATTATCTTTTATTATTATTTTTTTAATGTTATATAGTGGCCTTAGAAATGATCTAGCTTGTTACTGTAGCTGGAGAACTCTCAGAGCTTACTCATCGGCCTGCCTGAACAGTGCCCTTCTCAGAGACATAGACACCAGCCAATAATTTCCTTATATCCTTATTTTTAACCATTTTGGTTTGCTGTATCAAAGCAGCTAAATTTGAAACAAGTTCAATATCATTGCCTTCAAGGATCAACTCATCTTTCTGGGCTTGATATACTGAACAAGCAACACCTAGTTGCATTCGAACCCTTCAGATGTATTTTTCACCCAAGAAATTTTAGATATCAACAAGAGACCCATTCTCCTGAATAATGACGTTGATGGGGAAATGAGCGTACACGGACCTCATCTTGTAGCAGAAGCCCAGTGTCACACCCTGGGTCATGTTCTGTCCGTGACTACAGATAGTGCAGACTAGCCAGTTCCTTTCTGTTTTCCCATCATTTGTCATCCTGCAGCCTCTTCTTTTTCTTTCCATGGAGACTGACCCCTACATTGATGTGACTGAAGTCCCTCCGCAGGGTTCCTCTGGGACCCTTCACAGTAACTGTGTGTCCCTTGAGTGATGTTGACATTTTCTGAAATGTCGATGGTCTGATTGCTGAGAATGGTCTTCATCTTGAGCTGCTGGCGTTCCCAGAGCTGATGGTTTCAGATTCCTCTGTAATCTTTTCTCTGTAATCTTTTTCTTAATTATTTTCTTTCATCCAAAGTTTTACAGACCTGACTTTTAAATTCTTTTTTTTTTTTTTTTTTTTTTTTTTGGAGAGGTTTTTGCTACAGGGCGCATGTGCTCACCAGAAAGACAGACAGAAAGTGAAAAATCACCCCCCAGGGAGGATGGCCACGCCGCAATCCCTTCTCCTCCATTCTCCTCTCAGGATCTTGGGCACGCACGCACACGCTCCCAGCGTGAGTTTAAGCCACTGGGTCCGGGACTCGAACTGCAGTCAACTACATGAGAGTTCAGCGACATAGCCATCACACTAACTGCTGGTCCCTTGACTTTTAAATTCTAATTTTTAAAAGTTATTTCTAGAGGGCATTAGTTAGAGAGAGAGAGAAAGCAGTCCTCGTTGAGGTATGGTCACACCACAAACCTTTTTCCTCCATTACACTATCCTGTCAGGATTTGGGCATGCCAGTACAGATACCCAGAGTGTTTTTCAAACTGCAGAGGCCAGGATTCTAACTACTATTGGCCGTGTAGTATCCAGTTCCCTTAATCACTGTGCTATAGGGCCAGCCCAACCCATGTAATCTTATTAAAGATAGGTGTTGCTGAAATACTGAAAATAGCTCAAAGATTTCATTACCACCTTTGAGGACTTTTAAGAGCATGAGGTTCCTAGATTTGTAGATCACATAAATGGATTCTAATATATCTTTGATAATTTCTTTCCCCTTTTCTTAAGGTTAAATCACAGATTGAAGAAGAAACAAATGAGAAGTTTGAAGAATTTGAAGCTGAAGAGTATAAAACTCAAGTAGTTGCTGGCATTAATTACTTTGTTAAGGTGAGAGTTCAACATTCACTTTCTTATTTTTATAGAGCTTTTGCTATAGGGCGCATGTGCTCACCGGAGACAGAGAGATGGAAAGCGAGAAATCACCCCCCAGGGAGGTTGGCTACACTGCAGTCCCTTCTCTTCCATTCTCCTCATGGAATTTTGGGAACACATGCACACACACCCAGTGTGAGTTTCAAGCTACCAGATCTGGGAGGTCTGGGACTCGAACTGCAGTTGGTCAGGTGGGAGTCCAATTACATAACCATTACACCATCTGCTGGTCCCTCAACATCCACACTCAAACCGAAAGATAATATATTTCTCATTTTATGTAATGTTTCCTATTTCCCCTAAATTGTCATTTCTCCCCTCTGGTAGTCCTAAATTAAGAAGCCTTGCATGAAACCCTCCAAGTTGTAGGCTCAAATTAGGCAGATGATGTATACCATTTAATTTCTGTGAATTTAGAAAACTTTCGTATATTGATTCTTAACTTAATTTCCAGAAATTGTATAGGAAAATATTTCATAACTGCTTAGGACATGTCAGCCTTGGTCATAGCTGCTTTGTGTGTAATATAGCAGGATATCTCAGCTGCTTGAAGGGGTGGGCCTGGACCAGATGGCCTCTTGATGCTTGTTGCACCTCAAAGCCATACAATTCTGTGTAGCCTAAATTAAATGGATTTAACTTGAAGCATTAGCTAGAAAAATAAACAACTCCACCTTTTAAATAAGCATTTTGATTAATATAATTTAAATAGTTATTTTTGGATCTCAAATTAGTAAATTCAAGTGTGACACTTAGGTACAGTTTAAATGACTGGAGTATTTTTTTTTTAATATTTTAATAATTCAAGTGTGACACTTAGGTACAGTTTAAAGGACTGGAGTATATTTTTTTTAATATTTTAATGTTTTGGGGCCAGCAGGTGGCATAGTGGTTAAGGGCACTGGACTCCCATGTGGCTGACTGCGGTTTGAGTCCTGGACCTGGCGGCTTGTTTTCTCACTTTTCCTCTCTCCCTTACTCATGCTCTGTCCCTCTCTGGTCAAAGAGAGAGAGAGAGAGAAAGAAAGAGAGAAAGAGAAAGAAAGAGAGAGAAAGAAAGGAAGGAAAGAAGGAAGGAACAGAATCCCAACCTGTTTCCTGGCTTTTTAAAGTTTTAAGCAAAGTTCCTTAGCATTTCTTTGATTTATTAAAGTTAAAACTGCTTTTCTTGAAATTAAATAAATAAGGACTTTGAGCACACATGCATATGTGCTTGGCATGAGTTTCAAGTCACTGGTTCCAGGACTCGAACTGCAGTCAGCCATGTGGGAGTCCAATAATGTAACCATTACACCATCTGATGGTCCTCTGAGTTTCACTCTTATTGCTATGGAGAAGTTCATTATGTATTCATCAAATTAATAATTTCATGTTTTTGTATATGTTGCAAATATAACACAAACAAATAACATATTACATGCTCCTTTAAAAAAAAAAATTCTAGAGGGACCAACTCAACTAGTCAACCATGGATATTGGTACCTGTTTTTATCCTTATGTGTTAAGATGATGATTCTGATTTAATAATAATAACAGATATTCAAATATAAAGATTTACTTAATCTTTACTTGGCCATTTGACACAGAAAAATAAATTTTAAAAATTAGAATTTGTAAGTTCTCTATTTGGCACAGAGAAGCTCATTTCTCTGTAACAAACTATTAACTACTTAAGATACAAAATTTAAGAAATATATGTTCTGCAAAATAATAAGTGGAGCTAGCCAGCTCAGTTTTGGTGCAAGGTTATATAGACAGGTCAGCTCAGTCCTACCACATGTGAGCTCCTAGTAAACGCCAGGCCTTGGAAATGCATGGGAATGAGACCTTGCTGTAGCCCTGGAAAACGACGGCATTGTCTCCTCCTTTCTTAATCTTTTTGCACAGCCATAAGAGAAAGTTTTCAACTTAAAAATTAGTTCAAAGACATAAAATATTCTATCAAAACTGAAATAATTTTAATAATTTATTGGGACCAGCAGTTGGTGTAATGCTATGTCGCTGGACTCCCATGTAGTTGACCGTGGTTCAAGTCCCGAACCCAGTGGCTTAAACTCACGCCAGGCACATGTGCGTGCATCCCCAACATCCCGAGAGGAGAATGGAGAAAGGATTGTGGCATGGCCATCCCCCCTCAGGGAGTGATTTCTCACTTTCTGTCTCTGTCTCTCTCTGTCTTTCTGGCTAGTGCACATGCCCGATAGGAAAACTTCTCCAAAAATAAATAAATAAATAAATAAATAAATAAATAAATATTTATGATTAATCCAAATGCATACATTTCACATATTAACCAGCTTGCACATTTTTTAAAAAGCTCATTAGGAAACAATCTTGAAAATTTTTTCCTTTGACCACTTTGTTGCCCTATTTTTTTTTTGTTTTGAGAGGTTTTCACTATAGGGTGCGTGCGCTGGCCAGACAGACAGAGAGACAGAAAGACAGAAAGCGAGAAATCACTCCCCAGGGGGGATGGCCACGCCACAATCCCTTCTCCTCTCAGGATCTTGGGCGCACACACACACGCGCCCGGTGTGAGTTTTAAGCCACTGGGTCTGGGACGCGAACCGCGGTCGACTATGTGGGAGTCCAGCGACATAGCCATTATGCTAACTGCTGGTCCCTTGTTGCCCTATCTTATCCAGAGTCTTCTCTCTCTCCAAATTAACAGGCTGTTATTCATCAAAACTGTCAAGGTCTTGAAAGACAAACAAAGATCCAGGAGTTAACCTAGACCAGAGGAGTGTGTGTATGTCTCTCTCTCTCCTTCCTGCCTTCTGTGTTCAAACTTTTCCTTCTGTGTTATAGTCACTTACTCCAGTTCCCTCCTGGCAAGCTGGCTGTTGACCTCTTTGCTCCAAGCCATTCCCAAGATTCAATACCTTCTCTAGTGTCTGTATTACTAGCAAGAGTCAGGGTGGTAGGATGAAAGACAAGCTTTGACATCAGCAGTTTGAATCCTTGTTCAACCCGTTCTACCAGTCACAGCCAGTGAGATCCAAGCGAGGCTCTTCCCTGAGTCTTAACTTCCTTAACTGCACAGTGGGGGTTATAACCCATTTTGCAGGGTGCTGTGAGGAATAAATGAACTAGAAATTTACTGAGCACTTACAATGTGCCAGGTACTGTTCTAAGAGCCGGGCCTGCATTATCTCACTTATTCCTCATGACAAATCTATGAAATAAGTATAATCACTTCTCCCAGGCTACTAATTATAAAAACAAACAAACAAACAAAAACACCTCAGCACTAGGGCGTTAACATTACTAATAACGTTTACACAACTGTAAGAGCAGAATCAGAGTCAGGATCTGAACCCGATGCTGAAAGCTGAACGCTGGGCGGTGCTAGTCTAACACTGTTTGCAAAGGCAATGCCCCATTCCAAGGACAAAGTAAGTGTTTTCAAAAGGCTACACTGCAGGATGAGCAGAACAAAAATGTTGAAGTCTAACAGATTTGGGTTTGAATTTTGACTGCCACTAACAAGCTGAGAGATTTATGGAATATTACTTAACTCTTAATCTGCTTCTGCATCTGTAAAATTGGCAATATTTCTCCTTCCTTAAGGCCTACAATAAGAAATAAATATAATCCTGTGCATAAAATGCTCGTCATAGTGTATGAGTCATGGTAAACACTTGTAAAAATTAGGGTATAAAGAGACATCAGAGCATGTAAGACAAAACAAACTTACTGTCTCAACCGAGAACCAAAGTGGAAATTCTTTTTTTTTTTTTTTGGAGAGGTTTTCGCTATAGGACGCGTGCGCTTGCCAGACAGACAGAGAGAGACTTAGAGACAGAAAGTGAGAAATCACCCCCCAGGGGGGATGGTCACGCCGCAATCCCTTCTCCTCCATTCTCCTCTCAGGATCTTGGGCATGCACGCACACGTGCCCGGCGTGAGTTTTAACCCACCGGGTCCGGGACGCGAACCACGGTCGACTACGTGGGAGTCCAGCGACATAGCCATTACGCTAACTGCTGGTTCCCAGCCAAAGTGGAAATTCTTACCATAATTCTCCAGGCCCTGAATTTATGCCCACACTACTATTTCAACCTCTGTACCATTGACACCCTGGCAGTAAAGACCACCTTACTTTCAAAGTCTGACACTTGGGTCTCTGGACACTGCTTAGTTCTACCAGTGGGTATTTATAAAATAGGTCCTAATAGAGGCCAGTAGGTGACATGGTGGTTAAGGCACTGGACTCACACATAGCTGACCACAGTTTGAGTCCTGGACCTCGTGGCTTGAAAATCACACCATGTGCGTGCATGCCCAAAATTCCAGAGTAGAATGGAAAAAGGATTGTGGCATGACCATCCTCCAAGGGGTGATTTCTAACTTTCTTTCTGTCTCTCTCTGGCAAGAGCATATACCCTATGACAAAAACCTAAAAAAATAAGCAGGTTCTAATATAGGCACGGGAGCCATACATTTCAAATTTCTAAGGATAACTCTGATTACCTTCTTTATCAAATAAAGTATCCCAATTTGGGAGTCAGAAAACCAAAAATATAGGCTGTCCCTTATTTTCTTGGTCTGTGCATCTGTGAAAATAAAATACAACCTTGGACTGTCATTTGCACCCAGAATATAATAAGAAATCTGATAAAGTAGACCTCAGATCTGTCTCTAGTCATACCATTAGCTTACCTTTTCTCTCTTAAAACGAGGTGATGGATTTGCAGAAGCAAAGATTCTGAAAATCTTATACTAGTCAGAGCCAGCAGATGGCATAGCGGATACATCTCTGCACCCCCACCCCCCCACAGACACACACCCACACACACACACATACACACACACACACACACACACACACGGCTACTATAGTTCAAGTCCCAGACCTAGTGACTTGAAACTCATGCCAGGCACATGTGCATGTATGCCCAAGTTCTTGGGAGGGAAATGGAGAGACGGGATTGTGGCTTGGCCATCTCTCCTCGGGGGGTGTGGGGAGGAGATGTCTCACTTTCCCTCTCACTGTCTCTATTTCTCTCTCCTCAGCATGTGCACATGCCCTAAGGCAAAAACCTTGAAAAAAGAAATGCATACACACACACACGCACACACACACACTCACACACATATGTTATATTGGTCTCAGTCTAGGCATGCTGTTCCAGAAAGGTTTACTTCAGTAAAGTCTTTATATGCCTACAAACCTTTCACTTGATATAGATCCTTGTGCATAAACCTTTTTAAGTGTTTTTTTTCCCTACGTTTCAGATTAAAGTAGGTGGTAGTCGTTACATTCACGCGAAGATATTCAAAGGTCTTCCTGGACAAAATGAAGAGTTGGTGCTTTGTGGTGTCCAGACTAACAAAGCAAAGGACGACGAGCTGACTGGCTTCTAGCAGCACCTTCCAAACGCCATCTGAGTCCTTCCATTGGCTACCAGTTAATGATCCCTGCTAATAATTATAGCCATAAATAAAGATGCATTTCTTTTCAAATGAATTATTTATCGTGTATTGCATTAAATAGAAATTACCTTTTCTTTCTCAAAGTCAGTGTTATTGCTTTAGAATATATTGAGTTGTTGGGAATGTCATGACGCATTTTTACATAGAGAAAAATGTCATGACTTTTCCAACAACCGAATACATTCCATACGAATTGATGTTAATCAGAAATCTCCCCCGCCCCTTTTTTTTCAGTTTTCTCTATAAGGTGCACACACTTGCTGAATATAGACAGAGACAGAGAGAGAGGGAAAGTGAGAGTGCACTCCCCAGAGAGACAGAGAGAGAGGGAAAGTGAGAGTGCTCTCCCCAGTGGCCGTGTTGCAATTCCTTCTCCTCCATTCTCTTCTCAGTATTTTGGGCACACACATATGCACAGCTGCCCAATGTGTTTTTCTAGTCACAAGGTCTGGGAGTTTAACCACACAGTCAGCCAAGTGGGATCCAGGCACCCTAACCAACACGCCACTGACTGGATTCAATTTTTTGTTTGTTTTTAATTGCTAGAGGGCGCAAGCACTCATCATATACCTGCCAGAGAGAGAGAGAAAGCCCCCTTAATGATGCATGGTCATGCCACAATCCCCCTTCCTCCATTTTTCTCATCAGAATTTTCGATATGCATGCACCCATGCGATATGTTCTTCAAACCGCAGGGGCCAGGATGAAAACTGCAGTCAACCATGTGGGATCTGGCAGACAATGCACAGCATTTAACTACTGTGCTATGGGGCCAGCCCACAGATAGAAATCATTTAAAAATCAGGTCTAATGTGGGGCCAGCAGGTAGTGTGGTGGTTAAGGTGCTGGACTCCTGCATGGCCAACCACGGTTTGAGTCCTGGACCTGGAGGCTTGCTTTCTCACTTTCCTTCTCTGTCTCTCTCTCTCTCTCCCTCTCTCTCTCCCTCTTTCTTTCTCTGGTCAAATAAAAAAAATAGCAATAAATAAAGTTAAATAAATATTTTTAAAATTAGACCTAATGCTACTAGCTAAAAGATAATATTATGAAAACACTTATTATAAGCAGGTTAGAGCTATGAGTTAACCAACCTTTCTGTCCTGTGATCACTGAAAACCCAACATTCCATCTCTACCCTCATGTTTTAAAATTAAATCAATTATTTTATAAAATATACTTTTATTCTGAAACAAACTCACAAAATGTTTGAGAAAGAACATCAGGCTAGCTCCATGGCCTGGAGGTAAAGGCAGCCAGATCCCACCTGACCAGCTCCACAGTTTGAGTTTCAGACCTGGTGGCTTGAAAAGCATGTGTATGTGTGCGTGTGCCCCAAATCCTGACAGGTTGGAGAAATGGACAAGAGATTTCAGAATGACCATTCCCCTTGGAGGTGCTTTCTCTCTCTCCCTCTCATTCTCTGTCTCTCTTTGGCAAGTACACATATCCTCCGGCAATTTTTTTTTAAATGGTTGGGAAAAACTTTTCCTCCTAGATGTTTAAAAGAAAGTAACCTATAGTGTGCCCCAGCACCAACAAACACTTTAGTGTGCATTTCCTACAAACAAGGACATTTTCCTGCATAACTGAAATACAACTAACAAAATCAGGAAATTAACATTGATATACACTAGCATCTAATCCCCAGAGACCATTCATAATTCTCCAATTGTTCAATAATGTTGTTTATTGAAAAGATCCAGCCTAGAGGCCAAGGCATAAATGGTAGTTAAGGAGCTAGACTCCCATATGGCCAACTATGGTTTGAGCCCTGGATTTGGTGTCTTGAAAATCATGCCGCACGCGCTTGTGTGTGTGTGTGTGCATGCATGTCCAAACTCCCAAGAGGAGAGAGGGGATTATAGTGTACACACAAAACATAGGCCATCGGGAACCAGCAGTTAGTGTAATGGCTATGTCGCTAGACTCCCACGTAGTCGACCG